AATTCAGAAACATTTAATGTTGCATTGTATACTGAATGTTTTAAGATATACCATACTCAAAGCGCAAGGTCGTGAGTTCGGTTCCCGGTACCGGAAAAAAAAAAAAAAAAAAAAAAAAAAAAAAAAAAAAAAAAGATATACCATACTCAGAAAAAGTACTGAATAAGTATAATAAATTGTCACCTTTACATTTCCTATTATCTTATAAAAACTAACAAAAAAATGCAATTTTTAGTCATCCAGTATTTAAATAATTGAACTGGTAAATTGTTAAGTGGCAATCAAAACAAAAAAGAAACAGCACACAGTGGCCACAAACATGGGGAGGCAGCAGTGGGGAAAGCAGACAGTAATGGCAAGGAAGTTTATGGTATTTGACAGGGTTGCATTCCTCCCAAAGTCATGGATTTGTTTTGATTGGTTAGTGGGTTGTTTGGCTGGCTGGCTGGTTTGTCAGATATGGTCTTGTTGTATATATAGCCTAGGCTGACCTCAAACTCACAATCCTTCTGCCTCAAATTCTCAAAGAAATGCTGAGATTATAGGCATATACACCACACCCAACCAAAGGAGATTGACTGTAAGGGAGCTACTGATTTGTTTGTTTCTTAGTTCAGTACTGGGGATTGAATCCAGGGCCTTATATCCAGGCTGAGCTACACTCCTATCCCTTTTTTAAAATTCTGAGACAGGGTCTCACTAAATCACTGGACTGTCTAGGCTAGGACTGAACTTGTGATCTGCCTGCCGCAGCTTCCCAGAGTGCTGAGATTATAGGTGTACATCACTACACGCTCCTTACTGACTTCTTTCAAGGAGTGAACAGACACACAAAGAAAAGCTACTGTTTCAACTTTTTCAAGAAAGGAAGACAAAAATTTCAAAAGAAAGAAAGGCTGTGGCTTTTCAGCCAGGGGAGTTCAAAGACTGAGAGACATATCTGAGTGTAGAGGAAGACTGAAGACTGGATTGAATACAATGATAGGTTAAAAGGTCACTGTTGATGAGGGTGAAAATGGACAGGGACATAAATTCTATAAGGAAAAGATAGAGAAGAGGGCTCACATTTAGAATGTCCTCTATTTCCTTTGAAAAATAGGGTACAAGTTCACCTCTTGACCATGGAGGTAGGAAACAAACTTAGTAGAGTAGTGGCTCAAAGAAAATGCAAATATTTGGTATAAGTTAGATTTAAGCTTCACAGTTATCAATTCATTTTTAATCCTCCCAATCTAACAGTAGGTACAATTCTCGTCACCATTTTACAAATGAGCTAAAGTTCAAAGTTATAATAAATTAAGTACTTTGCTCAAGATCACACATAAAGGAAATCACCAAACCAAATGCTAACCAAAGAAAGCCTGATCCTAGATCCTAACATCCTGAGATGCACAAAGGTAGGTACTATCTTTTACAGAGGAGAGAGGTAACAACACTGCTTAAACTATCCTGCCGCCTCCAAACCCAGCACTCCTTTAATAAGGATGCTTGCCAGTCATGGTGGCACACACCTGTAATCCCAGCCCTCGGGAGGCTGAGGCAGGAGGATTGTTGCGAGTTTGAGACCAGCCTGGGCTACAAAGTGAGCTCAAGGCCAGCCTGAACTGCATAGCAAGATCCTGTCTCAAAAAGCAAAAACAAAAACAAAAACAAAAAAAAACCCCAAATACAAGAATACTCCACCTGCCAAGCCACATCTCCAAACCTCAACATGCACGCATTCTATCGGCAAACTACACACTACACTCAGCTGAGAGTCGGATATCTCTCCACAAACCTTCTCTGAACTCCTTTCAAAATCCAATAAGCTTAGCTGGGCATGGTGGCACACACCTGTAATTCTAGCACTCAGGAGGCTGAGGCAGGAGGATCGTTGCAAATTCAAGACCAGCCTGGGCTACAAAGGGAGCTCAAGACCAGCCTGAACTGCATAGTGAGACCCTGTCTAAAAAAGATTAAAAAAAAAAAAAACAGTAACAAAGTTTACAAAGGTCTCCAAAATTTGAGTTGGAGACTTAGGTTAGGCCAATCCTAAAGAGAAATGTTATCATTCTCAGTGATAATTGAGAGGAACATTAATGGAGAATTTTAAACCGTAGTGAGACTTTTCTAGAGTTTGGCTCTAAGAGTCAGGCTGGCTCGCTAAATACTGATATGCATGTTCTTAATATATTTTAGGCAATTAATGGAAGGGGACAGCCGGTGAGAAAGATAGCCTTTTAGTTCATTTCTCTAAGGATGATTTAGTCAAATCAGTCAATTCTATCTCCAGCCCCAACCTCCGTGCCTTCTCCTGTAAGATAAGCTCTAAGAAAACGCACCCCAGGAATATAGATGTATTACCTGACTGCATGTCCAGGGTTGCCTGCAGTTTCGGGGGGCAGTAGATAGCATTCGCTGTGGTTCGAGCAGAGGTTAAGGCAGCTCGGGCTTTCGGCAGATTGCTCAGGGCATGGTATGTTTTGCTTTCTAAGAGCTGTACTTCCACCAAAAGAGCTTTGTCATCCATCTTTTTCAACTCTCGAAGTAGCTGAGAACCTGGAAAAAGAAAAGATACATGTCCCTTTGTAAGCCATACTCTTATTACTGTAAAATCTCACTCTCATAATATTCAGGATAAAGAAACCTTCCCACACTCAAAAAAAGGTTACCTTTATAGCCCGCGCAAGAATTAAGGCTGAGGATACAGCTCAGCGGCACAGGACCTGCCTGCCAAGCATAAGGTCCTGAGTTCGATCCCAGTATCAAAAGAATTAAGTTTCCTCTAACTGTGCTAGCTTCCAAAAAAGAAAAACACCTATCTTTAAGCTTTTCTGCTTCCTGAAGACAAAAGTAGAACAAAGAGCCCCATAAACTTACTCCTAAGATGCAAACACATGGGAATCTATACCCACAAAATGCAAAACATTGTCACTCAGTTCAGACAGTGTCTGATGACTCTGTCTCAAAAAGAAAAAAAATTAAAAATAAAAAATTAACCAGTCTGGTACAGTGGCACATGCCTGTAATCCCAGCATTTGGGAGGCTGAGGCAGGAGGATCACTGTGAGTTCAAGACCAACCTAGGCTATGTAGTGAGTTCAAGGCCAGCCTGAACTACATACTGACACTCTGCCTAGAAAAAAAAAGAAACCCTCAATCATCTACTTTCTATTAATTTGCTTATCCTGGATATTTCATATTAATAAAATGATATACTATGAAAAACCCCAAATAAATCAAAGTTGGGCATGGCATAATCTCAGTACTTTAAGAGGCTGAGGTAAGAAAGACTCCAAGTTTGCAGCCGTAGCAAGTAAGTGACTTAATAAGACCCTGTCACAAAACACAAAATAAAAAGGCAGTAAGTTTGACTGAGGGCCATGTATAGTGGTGCACACCTCTTTTCCCTTAGCCTTCCCTTTGGGGGGCTAAGGCACGTAACGTACTAAGGATATAACTCAGTGCAAAGGCGCTGGGATCAATCCCAATCAAGTACACCGGAGCTCCTGCCAAAGCGAAAAAATAACCCACAGGAAGGGAAAAATACTTGCAAATCATGACTCCAATAAGGGACTTGCATCAAGAGTAAAAAATAAAAACAGACAGGTATTGTGCCACATGCCTGTAATTCCACTCTGGGAGGCTGAGGCAGGAGGATTAAAAGTTCAAGCCCAGCCTGGGTAACTTAGTGAATCAGCAAGAAATTGTCTCCAAAAAACAGACTGGATATGTAGCCCACTGTGAAGACCCTAGGTCCAATCCCTAGCACCAAAAAATAATAATCAAAAAACCACAACCCAATTAAAAACAAGTAAAGGATTTAAATAGACATTTCTCCAAACATGTACAAGTGAACAACAAGTACATAAAAAGATGCTCATCATGAGTCATTTGGGAAATGCAAATCAAAACGACAGTGAATGAAATACCACTTCATACCACATAAGAAGGCTAAAATAAAAAAGACAGCAAGTGCTGAGGAGGATGTGAAGAAACTGGAACCTTATTTATACACTAGGGGAAGGGACACACAATGGAGCAGCTACTTGGGGGAGCAGCTACTTGGGAAAGCAGCTTGGGAAATACTTGAGAAAAAAGCTAAACAGTTAACCACATGACCCAGCAATTCAACTTCTAGGTATGTACTCAAAAGAAAAATATGTCCACATGAAACCAGTTGACAGCAGTAGTCACAATAACTAAAATACAGACACAATCCAAATGTCCATCAACTGATGAATGGATAAATAAATGGGACACATCCAATGGACTATTATTCAGCAATAAAAAGAAATGCACTGACACACACTAGAACATGGATATACCAATCACAAAACCACACACTACAAAGACTCCATTTATATGAAATGTGTAAAATAAGCAACTCTACAGAGACAGTAAGCATTTCACAGAATGGTTACTTAAGGTTTGGGAGGAGGGGCGGGGGTAGAAAACCAACAATTAATGGAGAATGACTGCTAATGGGTAGAGGGTTTCTTTCCAGGACAATAAAATGTTCTGGCCAGGTGTGATGGCACACACCTATCATCCCAGCACTCAGAAGGCTGAGGCAGGAGGACTCCTGTGAATTCAAAGCCAGCCTAAAGTACACAGCAAGACCTCATCTCAAAAAAGTAAATAAGGCCGGGTGTGGTGGTGCATGCCTATAATCCTACCACATAGGAGGCTGAGGTAGGAGGATCACCACGTGTTTGAGGTCAGCCTGGGCTATCTAGCAAATTCAAGGCCAGCCTAAACTACATAGTAAGACCCTCTCTCAAAAAAAAGGAAAGAGAAAGAAAAACACACACAGAGAAATAAACTCTTGTCTTTTCTACAGGAAGAAAAGAAAAGAATGACAAAAACTTTAGCTTTCAAGAAAATGGATTTTCCTGCTCTAAATTCAAAGAGACTAAAAGAAAATTAAAAATTGAAAAATTTTAGAAAACAAAGACCAGAAAACATCCTTTTGTTCTCTACATTTAACATATTAATTATAGCTGGTTTCTCAAAACTTTCAAACAGTATTTTGTCATGACAAATTCCATGAATGTATGCCACATTAAATTGTTCTTGTAAGTACATAGAATATAAATTACTAAGGAGAACAGCCAGGTTTAGAATAATATCCACTTAGCTAGCCAAAATGTCTTATTAATTTCTACCAGTTTACTTACCCAAATGCAACGCTTCCTGGTACCTCTTGGTATCAAAGTACAAAGACACCAGTCTTGCCTAGGAAAAAGAAAAGGCATTGATTGAAGGGGAAAGCAAAAAAAAAACCCCACACACAGAAAGAGATCAAAGATTGACAGTCACAGAACTGTTACTGTTGAATATACATGTTCTGATGATAACATCAAATTCAGCATAACAGATGATCTGGCCCTTGGTACCGTCTCCTCTTATGGTCAATGGCAAACTGTTAACTTTACCATGCTGCTGCTTATTTTTCTGAGCCAAATGGCAAGTCTCTCTGAAAACTTTAACCAGGGCAATTCTAATAAGTGGGACCACTACCAATAATCTCTTGGTGACCTAGTAATACAAAGTTGTTGAAAATGCTTGATCAAGATAGTGTTACTTCTAATCACAGCCTAATGCCCAGAGACAAAATCAGTGCAATGTGACCCACCTACCTCCAAAGCTTGGCGTAAGAAAGTTCTTTTCTCTGATTTGGCCCATTCGATGCATTCTAAACACAGCTCCACCTGCAACAGGGAAAGATAGTGCATGCAAGATTGTGTGCTCACATTCTACCCACAACCATGCTTTGGAGAACTCTGTACAGCTGTAATTACAGCTGTAATTCCCCATGTCCTTCTCTTTAGTGTCTGAGACACAGACTCTCAATGAGTAATGGTTACAGCATAACACAGAATCAATTTGGCTTTTTACACATAATATCTCTCTTATGTTTAAACTGTTCTTTTGGAAAAGAGCTGCTTCTTTAAGATGCTTCTAGCTTCCTAGGAGATACCCAGAACTTCCCAAAACATAAATAGCCCTGGGTTGTGTATTTATATGAGAGCTTAGGAATTTTTAAAGCAGAAATTTCTCCCTGGATAGCTGGTAGTAATGTTAATGCGTTACCGAGAATACCCTGGGTAATAAAGGGGAGAAACCTGCAATCTAATCAGAAACACCTGTTCCTAAGTTGTTTGTGAGCCTCAAAAGATCCAGCTGGCTCTTTCCAAATCTATCATCATCTAATAGCAAACAGATACAGTAAACTTAGCTTGTATCAAAGGGAGTAAAACAAAATTACAATTACTCTAGCACCTAAAAGGGCTTCTAAGCTTTACTTATAGAATTCACAACACCTAGTTCTATCTGCCACCCAAGCAGCGATATAGGTACAAAGAAACTGATAGAAAGCAGTGCTCTATGCTACACAGTGTAGTATTAGCTCCAGCCCAGTACATATGAAGTATCACAGACCCTTCTAGTACTAGGAGTTCATATTAAAGTTAGTAATCTGAGCATAAGACAAAAAGAAATGAAATCAGACTGAGCTTTCCAGAGAACTGTTAACACAACAGAATTTTATGTAAATCCAAAGTTCTGTTAAGAGATGCTGTAAGGAAGGAAAACTAAAAAGGGACATATCTAAACTGATAAGATCTTCCACCTTTACATCTTAAATTCAAGCTCAGTAAATAAATTAATGGATGCCAGTTCATAATATTTGGGTGATTCCCCGAAGTGTCAATGAAGCCTTTACAACTCTTCATTGGAGCCACCTGGTGGCCACCTAATCTCCAAATCTAAAATCAACTGACCTCAAAAATTCCATAATAAGGCCCAGGCGTGGTGGCACACGCTTGTAATCCTAGCACTTGGGAGGCTGACACAGGATGATCACCATGAGTTCGAGGTCAGCCTGGGCTACATAGTGAGACACTGCCTTAAAAAAAAAAACTACAAAAGATCTGTTCACAATATGAACTGAACTGAAAATATTCTGCTGAATATTTTTACATAAGAAGACACAAAAAAAGACGTTTTAGGCACACATACCAACTCCCCACAATGAATGCAATCATTATATACTGGAAACATGTACTAATAATTTTTTTAATTAACAAGAAAATATAAGAATCTTGGGGCTGGGGATTTAGCTCAGCAGCACAGCACCTGCCTGACAAGCGCAAGGTGGTAAGTTTGATTCCCTGTACTGGAAAAAAACCCTCCCCCCCCTGCAAAAAATATGTAAGAATCTTAAGTGGTACATGACTTGAAAAGCTAAGAAATGCCCATCACAATTATACCCAGGGAGCTTTCTCAAATGATACAAAAATGAATAGAAAAAAACATAGGGGCTGGGGATTTAGCTCAGTGGCACAGTGCCTGCCTGGTAAGTGCAAGGTCATGAGTTCAATTCCCGGTACTGGAAAAAAAAAAGAAAAAAACATAGAACATGGTACATTCTCTATATTGTTGGTTTTTTTTTTTTTTTTCTTTTTCTTTTCTTTCCTTTTTTTGTCTGAGACAGGGTCTCGCTACGCAGTTCAGGCTGGCCTCGAGCTTACTTTGTAGCGCAGGCTGACCTCAAACTGGCAACAATCCTTCTGCCTCAGCCTCCCAAGTGCTGGGATTACAGACATGTGCCACTATGCCTGCCATGAAATTTTTAAAGAAAAAAACAATTAAATGGAGTCAGGCATGGTGGCGCACACCTGTAATCCCAGCAGTCGTGGGAGACTGAGGCAGGGGGACCGTTGCCAGTTTGAGGCCAGCCTAGGCCACAAAGTGAGCTCAAGGCCAGCCAGGATTGCATAGAGAGACCCTGTCTCAAAAAAACCAAAAAAAAGAATTTTTTTTCAACTAAATTCATTTGAAGAAGAAAAAAAAATAACTGTTATCCCCAAGACTGAAATTCTCTAGCACACACCCTCTTTCCCCCCTTAAAACAATTTCTGATTTAAGGTTTCTTAAACTGTGCTACTACTTTAGAAAAACACAGAAAGAGAGGGAGGGAGAGGAAGGGAAGGAGGGCAGACGGGCAAGGCAAGGGACCAGTTCATCTTCTTTCTGTCCTCATCACACTTTTCCACTTCCCTCACATTTCCAACTACCCCGTCCTCAACCTGCCTGCCACTCTGGGCCCTCCCCTCCACTGCATGTCTTCACTTCCTGGACTCCAAATCCTAGCAATGCAACAATCCAGTCCTAACCTGAATTACATCATCTTTAGGAACAGAGCAAGTTAAAGATTCTTCTGCAGAAACATCTGAATTATAAGTGGTCTTTAAAGAGAAAAGATAAGGAAAATCACTCCCTCATACCCTTGTTAACGAATTCTTTAACAAAACCTTTACCTCTCTTAACAATGCTCTGAAACTTTCTTTCTTTCTCTTTTTGGTACCTAGAATCAAACTCATGGACCTCATGCTTGTCAAGCAGGTGCTGTGCCGCTGAGCTGTATCCCCAGCCCTGACACTTTCACTCTGCCTCAGGTTTCAATGACAGTGATCCACTTATGCTTACTTCTCTAGCCTCTGCCATCATGAGAAAAATTTTAAAAGAACCAAGAATGAAGACCACATATGATTTTCCCAAGTCAAAAACCTCGAGCCACCTAGAGAAAAAGAACTGAAATGTAAGCATCCATGTTTACAATCCTATTCAACAAACTTTGAACTTAGCTTGGGAGTGGTGGTAGCCCACACCTATGATACCAGCAGTTGGGAAGCTGAGGCAGGAGGACAGCTGCCAGTTCAAGGCCAGCCTGGGTTACAGAGGAAGTTTAAGGTCAGTCTGAACTACCCAGTGAGACCCTATCTCAACCAATCAACAAACTTAGATCTTAATTCAATAAACTATTTTCTGAACATCTACCATGAAGAGACATAATCCAATACTCTTTCAACAGATATTAGTTATATAATTCCTTTCAAACAAACTACGCCTAGTGCCAGCAGTATAACAGTGAAGAGAACAAAGTACCTATCATCGTGGAACTTTCATCCTAAAGAAGAAACACACTGCCGGGCGTGGTGGCGCACACCTGTAATCCCAGCACTCGGGAGGCTGAGGCAGGAGGATCATTTCAAGTTCGAGACCAGCCTGAGCTACAAAGTGAGCTCAAGGCCAGCCTGAACTGCATAGCGAGACCCTGTCTCAAAAAGACAAAAAAGAAGAAGAAGAAACACACTAAATAAGTAAAATAAATATGAAGAAAAGTAAAGCAGAGATTGGGAATTTCTGATAAAGTAAACGAAGAAGATCTCTAAGGAAGTAAGATGTGAGCAAAGACTTGAAATAATGTGAAGAAAAAGCCCAAGTTACAATCACACTAAATCCAGGCATGGTAGCAGATACCTGTAATACCAGCACTCTGCAAGGCTGAGGCAGGAGAATCACACATTCCAGCCCAGCCCAAGAAACTTGGTGACAGCTGTCTTAGAATTAAAAAGGGGAGGAAGGACAAGGGATGCAGCTCAGTGAAAAGGCCTTAGGTTTAACCTCTAGTACCACACACACAACACACACAAAAAATTAGAGAAAGAACTACCAAATGGTTGGATGTTGTCACTGGCCATGCTGAGTATGAGGTACACATGAAACAATTGGGATATTTACAATTTACTCCCTAAAAAAAGCAAATAAACTACAATTCACAAAAATTAGGAAAAGAAATCCTATTCAGTGGAGTAAAACTCTTGCTTTTAATAAAAGCTAAAATTGCTAATCATTAGAAAAACAGCCTTGAGCTGGGTGTGGTGGTGCATGCCTGTAATCCCAGCACTTGGGAGGCTGAGGCAGGAGGATCCTTGTGAATTCAAGACTAACCTGGGCTACAAACTGAGCTCTCAAGGCCAGCCTGAACCTCACAGAGACCTTGTCTCAAAAAAACAAAAAGAAAAACAGCCTTTACTTAACCCTAAAGTAACACTGACAATAAAATGACATAACGCCTGAGAGTGCATCCTTTTACTGTAGGAAAGGAAGGCTGCTACAAAAATGTACCTGTGATGAACAATGGAGGGCCTAACCAGAGCCATATGACAAATGCCAGTCAGTTCTACCCACTGAAGTCAGCTCCTTGTTACAGAAAGGAACAAATTCCAGAGACTGCACTGTGCATAGGAGCAGCTTAGATAATTAATTTTTCTATCTAAAAAGTTCCGAGTAACATTTATGAGTTTCAAACTAACATTAATTGGTCTATTTTAGGGTGTCCTACTTCAATCAAAAGATGGCGCCACTTTCACAAATACAAAGTACAATTTTAAGAAAAGGGCTAGATAAGGCTAATATCCCTGCCAGGTGTGGTGAGGCACACCTATGATCCCAGCAAGAGAGGCTGAGGCAGAAAGATCACTTGAGTTCAAGGCCTACATACATAGGACCTACTACATAGTGAGCTCTATCTCAAAAATGAAACAAAAATGACTAATATCCCAAATAAAAATCACTTTTTCTTTCACTCATAAATATAATTCTAATACTTTGGTTCAAAAGGCAGCCTCTAAATATTATCTTTTGGTGGGGGTGAGACAAGATCTTGATATGTCATTCAGGCTAATCCTAAACTCACTATTTAGCCCAGGCTGGCCTTGAATTCACAGTGATCCTCCTGTCTCAGTGCTAGAACACAGGCCTGCACCACTACACCAAGCAATATGGTCCCTTTTTTTTAACAGTAGAAAAATATATTGGAGAAAAGGAATGGGGAATAGGAATTGCTCCTGAGAGACAGGAGGGGTCCCAAATGGGTTGCCCAATATTGTCCATTTTTGATCTACTATCATAAAATACAGATCTGCCAAAAACAAATGAATCTGAAGATTACTCTACAAATGAAATTTGTAATTGGGCTTTAAAGAATTATTAAGGCAAGAAACCAGATTTAACAAAAGACATGATTCTAAGTAGGATCCACGTGTCCTGGGTTTCTGAAATTCCTCACTATTTGCTCAATATGTCATTGTGGCCTTTCATATCTTTTACTGGTATACCAACATTAAGCTACAGCAAATAATTAGATATTTTATCCACTAGCAATTCTAACACTTGCCTTCATACTATCAGACATTTTATATATTTATTACATGACTTCCTTATGAGAGCAGTGACTGTGCTGTGTTTTATTTTGTTGAGACAGAGTCTCATTATGTAGTTCAGGCTAGCTTTTAACTCAGTATGGAGCCCAGGCTGGCCTCAAACGTGGTGACCCTATTGCCTCAGCTTTCTGAGTTCTGCGATTACAGGCATGCACCACCATGCCCACCTAGTGACTATGTTTTTATAACAGTATTCCTACTACCTATACTAGTGCCTAACACACAGAAGGCACTCAATAAGTACTGATCAATACATCTATAAAAAATGCAACAACTATATTCTTACCATAAATTTAAAAATCTGTAAAACAGGGCTGGGGATTTCGCTCAGCGGCACAGCGCCTGCCTGGCAAGCGCAAGGTTATGAGTTCAATTCCCGGTACCGGAAAAAAAAACCAGAAAGAAAAAAAAAAAAAGAAAGAATCTGTAAAATATTCCTCAATCTGCCATTCTTTACAGAATGATTTTTAATTCTGTTATGTGTCTCCTTAATTACACAAAATACACATCTCTGAAAAGGATGGAAGAAGCTCAGGGATTCTAGAGATGCACTATTCTATACAGCTCAAGGTCTAGTTTAAAATTGTAAGGAACACATACAAAAACATCAGAGTCACTTCCACACATGAGACACAATAGATGGATCCTCACCCCTCAATAAAGGCATGTAAGCAGTAAAAAACATGCTAAAGAATGCCAGAAGATTTAATTAGTGCTCATCAGGAGCTTTATGACAAAAGATGAAAGGTACCACAGGCACAGGAAACATTACAAAGGTGTGGCAATACAATACCTCAAAGACAAGAATCAGTTTGTGACCCTGATGTAATGAGGATTCCAGGGACCACTGACAATCTCCACTTACAAAGCAAAGCATGGAACAGACCCAAAGTATCAAGTGTCCTGTAACAAAGAGAAACTGACATAATAAGTCCTCAGTGTCCTCCCAGCTATCATGTCCACATAGTACCACAGAGAATCAGTCATTTCTCTCACTAAAACAGACTTTCTTCCATATCCTTTACTGCCATTAACATAGCTTACCTCCTGCCCTGTAGCTGCTTCCATATCAAGAAACAGATCAAGAAGGGATCGGACCAGACGGGCAGCTTTAGCCTTACTGATGGAATTCAAGAAGGGTCGTACATACTTCAGGAGTCCTCCAAGCTCTGTATAGAAGGCAATTCAATAAAGAAAAAGCAAACATCAATATTAGGGACAAGTACCCCTTAAAAAAAAAAAACAACAGCTGTGTGCAGTGGCACACGTGTAAGCCTAACTACTTGGAGGCCAGCTTGGGCAGCTCAGCAAGACCTAATCATAGATGAAATAAAAGGACTGGAGGTGTATATGGCTCAGAGGTAGAACACTTGCCAAGTTTGTGCAAGGCCCTGGGTTCAATCCTCAGTACAATTTTAAAAAAAAGAACAGCAACCTAAACCTAATGAAAGCAGAAAGAAGTAACAAATATTAGGTCAAAATTAGTAAAATACAGACTAAAAAAGCAATAGTTAAAAAAAACCCACAGCAACTCAAGATCATACAAGTCAATCACTGGAATACATACAAGTACATCACTGGAATCAATCTAAATAGCACATACCCAGCAGGTAATATAGTAGCAAAAATACGTTGCTCACGCCTGTAATCCCAGCACTTGTGAGGCTGAGGCAGGAGGATCATCACAAGTTCAAGTAAAGCCTGAGCTACATGTGAGTTCAAGGCCTGCCTGGACTATAGAGTAAGACCCTGTGCTGAGGGGAGGGGAGGAGAGAGGAAGGAAAGAGAAGAAAGGAGAGGGAAGAGTACAGGGGAGGTAAAGAAAAGAAAGAAGAAAAAGACACAGACAGAAGGAAAGGGCAGGCAAGTAGGTGGCTAGATATGGCTCAGTGCAAAGGCCCTGGAGTCAATCCTAAAGACCACTTAAAAAGACAGTAAATTTACACATGCTTGTCTAACAATAAAAATCAGAGAATGTTTCAACTAAACAAAAGTATTTTTGGAATGCAGGTCAAAATTATCTTAATGCCACTGCCTCTTTAATATTCCCTAGCTGTAGACTTACCCTCCTGAGAACTCTAAATCAGGACAACCAAACCTCACCCTCCTGAGAATGCTAATTCAGCATCTTGAATCCCCACCTCCCTGGACAGTCAGGGGATGCAGAGGACTGTGTCAGGTACTAAAGGAACTCTGTACTGAGTGGAAAAGTTCATCTCTCCCTCACTCCCGGTTCTGACCTTCTGTGTTACCCTCAGTGTCTAATACTTTCCCCCTAGTACACCTCACTCACCCTCCGACTCCACTCCTGCTTCTAAGTGGCACTCGGGCCACAATCTCATCTGAGACGTGGTCCTACCTCCTTCATCTATGTAAATCGCTGAGGTCCAGCTAAAGATCCATCGAGTTTTCCAAGCTAACTCCAGTCTAGTGATCTCTCCTCAAACTCCTTTCTGCATTTATGTAAATTTCAATTATACAATTATAGTTTTTTATTTTCTGTTTATTTTGAGGTGCTGAAGATGGAGCTACACCCCCAGCCCATCATAGTTTTTTTTTTTTGCTTTCTTGATTTTTTTTTTTATCTTTTTGAGACAGGGTGTTGCTATGCAGTTTAGGCTGGCCTTAAGCTCACTTTGTAGCCCAGGCTGGTCTCGAACTACTCATTTGATCTTTTTTTTTTACTCATTTGATTTTTGAGAGTCTTGCCATGTTAGCTCCGGCTGGCCTTAAACTCACTATGAAACCCAGGCTGACCTCAAACTTACAGCTATTCTCCTGCCTAAGCCTCCAAAATGTCAGGATTACAGGCATGCGCCACCACGCCCTGCTTCCATCATAGCTTTTTAATGGTATCTAGTGCCATGTTTCTTCTGCCACGGCATTTCCTACTATGAGTGAACAACTGTGAGTGATTTGTAGTGACAGAAATATTGAGAAAGCAGTCTATTCCAATGTTGGTCAAATTAAACTTTTCTTTTTTTGAAATATAAATATCTCCTTCCATATACTTAAAGGGAACTATCATTTACACATACCCAACTTTCCTGTTCTCCAAAAAAAATCTTTAGCTATTTGAATTATTCCTCCAATTCATGATTTCTATATTACTTATCCCCTCAATTAGCCTCCTCTGAACAACCTCTAATTTGTAAAGACATTGCGATACGTTGTGGTACCAGAATTGAAGAAAATAGTCCCAAAAGAGTCTACCAGTAGGGCAGGAGACTTAATTCTCCTGATCTGGCTACCACATGTAACATAAGATAGCATGCTTTATCTTTTCCAGTAAGTACTCTTTGTTCAGACTAAGTCCAATCAGGTCTTTTCTGCATAGAGTACTGTGGGGACAGGTAATTCCCCACCTCCCTCTATTTACCTTTATATGGAACACAACTGAATATAATCTTTCTTGGCTATGGCAGTAACTGTGGATCTTACTTCTATCCTCTACTATACTGAGTCACCTACAAAAATGTCTTTTGAAATGTCTTTAATGATGATACCAGATGCTTACCAGAAAAACGAAGACAAATCCCCATGACATGATACTAGAGACTGCAGGTTAACAAATGATCCACTTATTAACACATTTTAGATACAGTTATTCAACCCACTGTAAATCCCTAATTTGTACCTGCTGTATAAATATTATGGGAAATGTTCAAATATCCTTACATCAAATATGCAATACATATCATTCCTCTAACCCCACAAATTGGCAAACATTTTCTGTGAAGGGTCAGACAGTAAATATTTTTGGCTTTACAAGTTATATAGTCTCAGTGGCAGGTACTCAACTAAGTCACTGTAGTACAAAAGTAGTCATAAACAACATGGAAATGAATAGTTGTAACCATGTTCAATAAAACTTTGTAAAAACAAGTGGCAGGCTCCCATAAATTTACAGAGCTGAGTTTGAAATAATCTCTTCCTAATAAACCCACTGTTTTAAATAACTGAAGTCTCCTAATCAAATAATCTCTCTCAGGACTTTACTGCTGATTTCAATTTGCAGTTTCTAGAATTCTTTTATGTGCCCGGTGTGATGTCACACACCTGTAATACCAGCACTCAGGAGGCTGAGGCAGGAGGATCACTGTGATGATCAAGGCCAGCCTGGACTACATAATGAACTCAAGGTCAGCCGGGACTACACAGTGAGACCCTGTCTCAAAAAAATAAAATAAAATTCCTTCATGAGTTTTCCAAAAGGTGGAATAACATTTAACTATCCTCAGCTTCCTCCTACTTCTCCATCCTCCATTTTTTCTTAAAATAAATGGCCCTATCTACTACAACTATACTTTTGACATTAAAAGACAACTGTCAAAACCCAAAGACTTTTTTTTTGGTCTTTTTGAGACAGGGTCTTGCTATGTAGTTCTGGCTGGTCTCAAACTCACAGTGATCCTCTTGCCTCAGCCTCCTGAGTGCTGGGATCACACGTGTGTGCCACCATACCAGGCCAAAGATTTACTTAAAGAAACTATCTACTCTTCTCTCACTCACCTTAGCTTTCATTCTCTTTCTGACATTATTTTCTTTTTTTCTGTCTAAAACTCACTCTCCTTCCTGGAAAATGCAGAACTGGAACATGAGCTGTCTGCCTTTCTCCAACAGAAAAATAAATAATCTTTGCCATGTTTCAAAAGAGCTCATGCAATAAACCCTACTGCTACTATTAATTATAATGTTGTTTTATATATATTCTTAGAGGGCTGGGGATTTAGCTCAGTGGCACAGAACCTGCCTGGCAAGCGCAAGGTCATGAGTTCGATTCCAATACCGAAAAAAAAAAAAACCAACCAAAAAAAAAATATATATATATATTCTTAGATATATTCCCTTTCATTTTCATGTTCTAAGTTAATTTTTTTAAATTCTCATTAAATTATACCAACGTCTTCCTCCTATTATCATTGAGACTACTTGCAATTATATGATCAGAATTTCCCTCTTAGAAACTAAAGGTCAATCTACTCCTTTTAAGATGTCTCAGTTTAGGAACTGGGGATATAGCTTAGGGACATAAGTGTCTGCCTGGCAAGCACAAGGTACTGAGTTTGATTCCCAGTACCAAAAATAAAAGGAGTCAGGGGCTGGGGATTTAGCTCAGCGGCAAAAGCACTTGCCTGGCAAGCGCAAGGTCGTGAGTTCAATTCCCGGTACCAGAGAAAAACCAAAAAATAAAAATAAAAAATAAAAAATAAAAAAATAAAAGGAGTCTCAGATTATGAAAAGGTGTTGTGGCACACGCTTGTAATCTCAGCACTCAGGAAGCTGAAGCAAGAGGATCTCCACAAATTCAAAGCCAGCCTGTGCTACATATCAAGTCCAAAGTCAGCCTAAATTACGTAGAGACTGCCTCAAAAAAGCCAAAAAACCAAAAATGAGCAAACAAAACAACAGATATACTTTCTGTTCTCAGTGACCTTTAAATCAAAGGAAACATACATAAAATCTGAAGTAGTAATAGGAAAGACAGGACCCAAGACTTCCTTAGGATTTCTACTGTACACACACCTGTACTTACCAAACTGTCTTAGAAAAAAATTAAAAAGTAGTCAGGCAAGGTGATACACTCCCAGCATTTGGGAACCTGAGGCAGGACTGCTGTGAGTTCTAGGCCAGTATAGACTACACAGTGAGTTTGAGGCCAGCCTGAACTGCAGAGCGAGACCCTGTCTCAAAAGAAAAAAAAGGAAAATAAAGAAAACAAAAGGATAGAAACATTTTTTTGAAAACCTTTATAATTCTCTTATTAAATTCATAGGGGTATACTCTTATCTAATTGAGTATCAGATCACAAGGTAGGAAGGGCAAGGATTAAGGATAGAATGAGCATGAAATAGAATTTCAAGTAAAACAGTAACATCTTTAGATAAAAATTACTGAGCATTCACTATACATACTATGCACTGTTTTTATTCATGCCAATTATGAAAGCAGAGATTTGGATTATTTCAACAACAGAAAAATCTTAAATCAGTTCATCTGGCTTTATAATTCAGGTAAAAATTACCCACCAATTGTATCATTGATGGCAAATCTTTTAGAGCATTCAATACCATGCCGCAGCAAGCATGGCACAGGTTCGCCACTACTGGATTATATATTACATGGATTAATTATCAAAATTGTTTTGGGAGTGACAGACAAAAGGAATCTATAAATGCATTAAACAAGGGAGAAGTCACCTAAAATGAAAAAACCGCTACCCACCACTGATAATCCATAAGTGAATAAAAATTGGAAAGCAACAGCACATGTATGAGGCCAGAAGTTTCAAGTGGGACTTACATGGGTTCAAATCTCAACTCTGCCAGTTATTAGCTGAGCTTGGGTAAATTACTTAACTTTTCTGTGCTCAGTTCCCTCATGCGTAAAATAGAATAATTACAAACTATTACTTCAAGGTCCCGATGAGCTACACTCTGTGTATGCTTAAAAGAATAATTCAATCCCAGCACTCTGGGAGGTTAAGCCTGGAGAATTGCAGCTTGGCCAATTTAGCAACTTAGTGAGACCACGTCTCAAAATTTTAAAATAGAAAAATAAATAAAAAAGGGGTAGGGTGTAGCTCAGTGTGAAAGCCCTGGGTTCACTCTTCAGTATCACACACACACACACACACACACACACACACACGAAAATAGTAAATAAAACACCCACACAAACACATTCTCCGAATTTCATACATCTTTGCTCAATTTTCTATTGCTTGAGCCAAAAATCAATAAGTTATCTTTAACTGCAAAAGATCTTACTTCTCAAATTTAAGACGTTTTGCTAGGTTATCCCTACCACTCCCTTGGAAAACTGTATAATTTGAGAGAAAGTAATTTATGAGATCACTTATTAAAGCTTAATCCATTCTAATCAAATAAGCTCCAAATTCACTTTCAAGTTGATAAAAATCACCCATCTTAATTTTAAGCACACTTCTCCAGCACGACTACCACTTTACTGGTCAAAGGCCCTTCCTAATCAATAGGACCACATCCTCATTCCAAGGGTACATCCATCATCACCATATCATCTCAAGGCCAGCCAGCCAATGGTCCAATTGAAACATGAATGTTTGGACAACAATATGTACAAAGGCCTAGGTACCAATGAAAAAGTCTTGAGAAGGCACCATTTAATGTCTTACTCATTCAGTATCAGGAAAAAAAAAAAAAACAGTGAGTCACTTGCATATAAAATCCCTAGTCATTTTCAAGTCAGGGGCCTAAAGTCACTATCCTTCAATACACCAGAACTGCTTGGTGAAATCACTGTGTATGTGCTATATATGTACATGCCTGTACACAGGGGAATACAATGAGAACTCAAAAACCAGAATATCCTGATAAAAATATGGTTTTCACTCACGCACAGAATAAAATTCTATCATTAAAGAACTAAATTTAAGCCAGGCGTGGTGGTGTGTGCCTGTAATCCCAGCACTCCAGAGGCTGAATCACAAGGATTGCCGTGAGTTCAAGGCCAGGCTGGGCTACACAGTGAAGTCAAGCCTATCCTGAACTATACAGCAAGACCCTATTCCAAATCAACAACAAAAAAGAACTTTGTTTAAAGGCCACTTAACTTCCTGCAGAAAATGAAAGTTCAAAGACATAAAAAGTGAATTATACCATAAAGGAAGTAGGTATGGAGAGGCGATCCCACATTCCTTCCCATTAACAAAAAATGGTAATTTCATTTGACATTTTGTGTACAGCCCATTTATAGTACTTACCTGCAGCCTGTCCAGTCTTCGCCAGGAGAGACCCCAGTTCAAGGATGCTCTGCTCTTTGACCTGAACTGCCTCCTCATCATTTTCTTGAATGTCACGCTTCACTGGGGGGGAAAAAATGAGAACTCTTTTAAATTCTGATTAAAAAAAAAGATTGAGAGGAAATTCATCCTCATAAGAGCCACTATGAATATTTACCAAAAGGCAAATTATAAACCTTTAAAAGAATCTTTCTAAATAAGAAAAGGTAAACTGGGCATGATGGCACACTATAATCCCAGCACTGGGGAGAGTGAGGCATGAGGATCACTGTGAATTAGAGGCCAGCCACAGAGTGCCAGGCCAGCCTGAACTACACAGTGAGACCCTGTCTCAAAAAAACTAAATAAAGGCAGGTATGATGGCCCGCACCTGTAATTCCAGCATTCGGGAGGCTAGTTAGGAGGACTGCCAACAAGTTCGAGGCCAGCCTGGGCTACACTGTGAGTTCAAAGTCTGTCTGACTATATGGTGAGACTCTGTCTCAAAAAACTAAAAATATAATAAAAAACACTAAATAAATAAATAAATGTAAAATCATCATGTCTATGTAGGATATGCCCCATGTACGTCATAAAAAACAAATTCTTCTCTAATTTTAAGTGTAATTTTTTCATCCTAACCTCTAACCATTAGAATTTCCCTCACCTATGGACAGATTCCTGTGGTGGTAAGTTGGTTAAAGCAAACTCAAAACAAGACCTTCATACTTACAGTGTGACCCCATACTAGTCACTATGTGATCTAAAGCTATAAAACATTCCTAGATGTTTACCTACCATAAACAAAGGACCAAACTATTGATGACCTTAAAGTAAGTTAAAAGCCTTTCAATAAACTTTGTCTGTGGAAAAGATCAGCCGATTGGGTGTGTTATGGATACAGTTCTGTAAAGCTATTCCACAAAACCACCTAACAAAATTCCAGTAATCCTTAACAGTTGCACTTAGACTGACACCTTAAAAGACATTCAGGTCCCATTAAAATAACTTTCTGCTATCTGTCCCACTTTCAACTGTTAATAATTATTTGAAAACTTGAATATGAAATAGCCTCTCCAAGTTTGTAGTGTTAGTGATCACCACTAGTCACCACTTCTCTTACAAAAGCATCATGACTTGACAGAAACCAAGACTTTGATACTCCATGATGGAGTTTGGAAAACGTAAGGCTGTGGATCAGCACGATGCAAGCTCACTCTAACAGGGAAGCTTTCAGGGAACTCTCTCCTAAGTACCGCGCACAAGCAACTGTAATGGTAATGTTTACCACAATTTGTCCTTCCTGAGAGACAAACATTAGGCACTACGCACAAAAAAAATCAAAATTCATGTATCTCACACTGGCTCTAAGTATTCGTGTGTACTCCCAGAATAAAAATACACACATAACCAGATTCTGTGATGAATTTGGTTCTGTAATTGTAACTGACTTAGGACCAGAACTCCAAAAACAAACGCCCTGGACCATTAACAGTCCAAAGATGCATCTGACCCACCTCCTCTCCTCCAGGCTCCCTAAGATAAAAACATCAAGATGCCGTCACTTGCCCTTTTTCCGTGCAACTAAGAATTTACAAAATTCAAAAATTAAACAAGCTAACACAAACACTAAGCTCCTGGAAGTCGCACTAACAAGTGCATTCTCATACTACTTGTTGATCCAAGTGGAATCTTCTCAAGGTACATTTAAAAGATCACATTACTACAAGCGCAGTACAGAGCTGGCCCGGGCCCTAACTGAACCCTTCAGGATTGAACACTGAAAGCCTTCTCAGACGTAAACACTTACTTCTGTTCACATCTGAAAGTCAGCAGAAAGCGAAAGGCTGAAGCTCCCACTTAAACTTTCCTGACGTGTGCAGGTGTCAGGCAATCATACCACAGGACTCAGAAATTTTTTCCTTCATTTCTTCCCCCCTGGCAACGCGCAGCCGGCCTGTGCCAGAGTTCCCTGAACTCCGCGGCTGACAACTCACTGAACTAACTTCCAGCCCCGGCGGGGAGACCGGGACGATTAGTCACCTCCCGAGCCCCGCGCTCGCGCCCGGGCTGCGCCCTCACACTCTCCCCGGGCAGGGGCCGGCCCGGCCACCCCTCGACCCAACGCCAGCGCGAACAGTGTGTCCCCCTCCGCTCCCCCCCGGAGGAAGCAGCCCTCCTTCCCCGGAGCCCCGCGCCGCGCGGTGGGGAGAAAAGCAGCAGATCGTAGCGAGCGTCCCGCGGAAGGAAACTCGCAAGCACAGCGAGCGCGAGCGCTCCCACCCGAGCACCCCGCGCTGATAACAACGGCGGGAAAAGCCCGTCCGAGCGGGCTGCGCCGGGCCTCTGCGCGGGCACTCCCGGCCGGCTCGGAAGCAGCCCGCCGGCCCGCGCGGCTCCGGG